GCAAGCAACTTGATGGCACATAACAACAATAATAGTGAGGGGAGATCTTGTTTTGATTTATATTATCAGAACTTGGGCTCTTACACCATTTAAAAGGGAATAGATCTATCAGCATATGATATATATGGTAATTTCCACATTCTGTTGATTATCTCTGTTGGGAATAGTAACCAATATGATCTCTTCCAGTTTGTTGGGCAGGTAACTCTCCTCCAAATTTCTTGGTATAGCTTGGTGTATATTGTTGAAATATGTGCAGCATGTTCCTGACAACAGTTCAGAATAAGAGGTACATTGCAAAGCACATTGGGGGAGAAAGAGAAAAAGGGAGAGAAGGAAGAAATTATGTAGCAATAAAGGAATATTTTTTTAAATAGGTGAACTGGCAGACAGAGAAGGGGAGGGAGGAAAATGGGCAAAAAGGAATGAAAATGCAATTTTTCTGTAAACTTTCATTAAAATCACAATTTTAAAAAAAATAATTATTAACTGAAGAAAGAGGTCCTTGACAGATTTCCCCAAGTCAGTATGTCTTTTGTTCTGTTGACTACTTTTCCCCATGGGTATTAATTGTGCATCAAAAGAAAATAAAATCATTGACAAATACAAAGAAATTGCAGAACACTTTCCATTATAGAATGTGAAAATTACTGAAAAGTAACATTATATCTCTGACATATTTTGGACATGTTGTGAAGAGGAACCGGCCCTTGGAGGGACAGCGCAGGAGGGGAAGACCCTCTATGAGGTTGATTGATTCAGTGACTGAGGTAATCGGGATGGGTGTGTCAGAGGCAGTGGGATTGGCACAGGACAGAACAGGGTTTAGGGCTGTTATACATAGGGTTGCTATGAGTCGCAAAGGACTCGACGGCACATAACAACAACATCATTAATATCACATGCACGTAAAATCTTGCTGAATATCATTAAAAATGACTAGTACCTAGTACCTCAATAGAGACCAGCCAGAAATTCAGGCTGTATTTAGAAGAAGCTGTGACACCAGGGATATCATTGTTGGTGCCAGACGGATCTTGGCTGAAAGTAGAAAATAAAAGAAGAAAGTCTATTGCTATTTTGTTGACTATGCAAAAACATTTGACTATGTGGATCATAACAAATTATGGCTTACATGGAGAAGAATAGAACTCTCAGAACACTTGTGTTCATGAAAAATCTATACTGAGACCAAGAAGCTCTGGTATGAATAGAGCTGGGAACACTGCATGGTTTAAATAAAGGGAGTTGTGCATCAAAACTGTATCCTTTTCACATATCTATTCAATTTATATGCAGACAAATCATTCAAGAAGCTGGACTATATATAGAAGAAAACAATAGGATTAGAGGAAGACTTATCAACAACTTGTTCTATGCAGATGATACAATCTTGCTCGCTTAAAGTGAGGAGAACAGCAGAAATGCTTGCTGCAGAGGATAAAAGACTACAGCCTCCAATATGGATTACATTTGTTTGCAATAGCAAAGAGCTTGAAACAACCCAGGTGCCCATGAACAAACGAATGGATAGAGAAGCTCCGGTATATTCACACAATGGAATAATATGCAGCATTAAAAACCCAAAGAACTCAAGAAATATTATGCAAAATGAGTGACCCTGGAGCACATTATGCTGAGTGAAATATCTCAGTCACTAAAGGAAAATACTGCATAGGGCCACTGTTGTAAAATGGGACTGACACCGGGGTTGAAGGAAGACAGAGAAGGAGGGGAGGAATGATGTACACTGCATTGAAACAGATGAGGGAGAGAACTGTTTAAAAGGAATATATGATTGGGTATTATTGTCATGACAGGAATCCAGAATGAAGGCTGCACAGTGGAGTGTACTTGGGGGAAAGGATTTAATAAAAATGAAAGAGTTTTTCTTTTACTTTTCAAGGAGAAGAGTTAATTGGTGGGGAAGGGATGGGCAAGTAGAAAAGTGCAGCAATGAATTACTAGAAACCCTAAGTCTCTGTAAACTTTCATTAAAATTAATTTAAGGGGGAAAAAAGAAAACAAAATTTCTCACCACCAGGCAAACAGGTGACATCATGATGGTTGGAGAAGAGATAGACATTATCAAGATTTCAATGGCACATAACAACAACAGTTGATTCAATGACTGAGATAATCGGGATGGGTGTGTCAGACAAAGTGCGATTGGCACAGGATAGAACAGAGTTTAGGGCTGTTTGTACATAGGGTTGCTATAAGTGGCAAGCATCTTGATGGCACATAACAACAATAGTGAGGTGAGGTCTTGTTTTGATTTGTATTATCAGAACTTGGGCTCTTAAACCATTTAAAAGGAAATAGATCTATCAACATATGATATATATATGGTAATTTCCACATTCTGTTGATTATCTCTGTTGGGAATACAGTCAACATCCTTGGCATCAGCCAGGTTATAAAAAAAAAAATATGTATTGCTTTGCAAAAGTCTGCTGTCAGTGACCTTTCCAAGTGCTAAAGAGCAGAGATGTCAGTTTGAAGACTAAGGTATACCTGTTTCAAGCAATGGTCTTTTCAATCACTTGCTATGCACCTGGAAGTTAGACGATGAGTAAGGATGATAGAAGAATTGATGCTTTTGAGTTGTGCTAGATAAAAGAGTGGTGAATATACCATGGACTGCCAAAAGGACAAACAAGTACGTCGTGGAAAAGTACAGCCAGTGTGCTCTTCGGAGGCAAGGATACTGAAACTCTGATACACTTTGGTCATTTTGTTAGGAGGTGACAGTCCTCAGAAAAAGGACATCATGCTTGGAAAGGTGGAGGGCCAGCAAATGATGAGAAGACCTTCCACAAGATGGACTGATACTGTGACTGTAACGGTGCGCTTGAGTGAGCCAGGGATGATGAAGATGACACAGGATATGACATGGTTTAGAGCCACTACTCATAGGGCCACGATGGATTTTAGCTGATAGCACTTAACCACAACACCACATCAACATATGACAGGGAGGTCTGGTGGCTTAGTGCTACAGAGCTGTCCTAACAACACAAAGAAACATGGTTTGAGTCCACCAGCTGTTCTTTGGGAGAAAGACAGTCTCCACTTTACTGCTACTGAAAACCTATTGAAGGGTCAGCAGCAACAATCAACATATGAAGGACTGTTGGTGGTGCGGTGCATAATACATCAGGCTACTACTTGAAATGTCTGTTTGAAACCAACAATGATACAATGGGAGGAAGAGTAGTCTCTTTCCATAAAGATATGTAGCTTTGGAAACATGAAAGAAAGCTGTTATGAGCTGGAACTAAATTGAAGGCAGTCGAGGTTTTCGTGTTGTTTTAAATCAACATATATACAGACACACATTACTAAGTGAGAAAGAGAAACTTGGAAAGAAAGAGTTGGGAAATTTGGAAAAGAAAACTGATGCCTGAGGATTAACATTTACTCTTGTTAATGTCCTTCCACATAAGACTCTAGAACTGGCTTCTCTGCTGCACACACACAAGCTTCTCTCATTATGATCACACACCTCTTGAAGGCAAACTAACTCCTAAATGTATAAAATCAGTACCCTCAGCAAATTGGTGACCCACATGCATTTGTTAGGTTAGAACAGGAGAGATCCAAAGAAAACTGGGAATGCAGTGATGAGAGAGAGTGCTCTTTCTTGGTGTGCAAATACCCCAGTGTATTTAGATCAGTAATTTAAAGTCCAGCTTATATATACTTGTAATAAAAGGCAATTTATTGAAAACGATACTGTGTTAGCTCACCAAGCTGTCAATGTGGCATCAGGAATAGTAAGAACACAGTTCCACGTCAGGGAAAACTCAACTGAAATAACATCATTATGTGCTGTCTTATCTGCCTCTGCCTTTTCTTTTCTATGTCACCATCATTGTTCTTTCTTGCTTTTAAGTGACTTGAAACATGGAACATTGCATTTGAACTTATTTATCTTCTTTACTTTATTGACAGCCATCAAAGCAATAAGAAGAACCAATCTTTTCATATTTCCTACTTGTACACAGTTATAAGGAGTATTTAAAAATTGCTGAAGATATGGGAAAGAAGATATTAGACCAAAAGACGAAGTGTTCATACTAACGCTATTATGTTACTATTGAATTAATTAGTGTGGTTACTTTATTTTCTGTCAAAAGGAGACTGTACAAATGTACCACACTTTTTGCCCTCTGGGATCTATTAAAATACATGGGTATTTAACTTCTGCAAGATTATTATGCTGTAGTACAATGCCATCTTGACAGCAACACTAAACATATCTATGGGAATACTCTCTAGATTTAGTAATGCATAATCAAAATACTGTTACCTAATTAAAATATGCTTTGGAACAGAAAATGAAGGATATAATAGTGAAATAAGAAAATAGGGAAAATCAATGTGCTTTTTCTTAAGCAAGAAGCTGGGAAGAAAATGCATAAGGGCCCTTTGCTGATGTAGCAAAAGCTCCAGGTATGTGATATATTATGATTTTGCTAGGCATTTATATTTCAGGCCAATAAAAAAGTAATCATTGAGGAAAATGTAGTAACTTTGGTTCATGTAATAATGTTAAAATATAGCTTTCATATACTTTTGGTTTTCTGCCCATATGCAAGATTTTGTCTGAGCCTAAAAGTGCCTCTTTTAAAAACACAGTCTGCAGCAAGCTCTGTATTTGCCAGCATCGGGGTTTTGCCTAATTAAATAATATTTTGATATTCTCAACAAGCCAAGGAAATAACAGAGAATTCTTGAGGGTGCCAAAGAGATTGAAAGTCCTGTGACCTGGCCTATTATAATCAGTGCCTTATGAATGGCTATTTCTTTTCCCAGCAATACCACTCTGCATGAGGTTAAGTCACTTGGCTGTATTTTCCCGTGTTCTTCATTGCATTAAAATTACATTGTGCCGGCCCCCTGGAGCTGTGAAATTTATTCCATCAGCACATATGTTTGTCCAGACAAGTAGACAAACTGCAAAACATTTCTCCAAGTGTCAATACAAGACCTACCTCCAATTTACATGCGGACCAGTTATCAAGGACCCAGCTGTAGCAGGGCGTCACTGGGCAGGTTTTCTGCTGGGTCAGCTCTGCAGGGCATGGACGTCCTTCTCCTTGGGTTGGCATAATGACAGATCGAGTCCGGCTCATTTGACCTAAAATGATAAGGGAGAGAATAGTGTTTTTTGGTGAGAGTTCTGCTTGAAATGAAATGGAGGGACAAAATGTAGGTTTACACCTATAAATCTTCACTATACCATGCCAACCTTAGTTGTGTTCAGCTTTCTGCTTTTGTACCGTTTTAGTTTCAAACTCAAACTCATTGTCATTGATTCAGAATCAATTCTTGGCTGATACTGCAGTGGGTTTTCTGAAACCATAAATCGCATGAGAAGAGAGTGCCCATCTTTCTCCCAATGAACAGCCAGTAGATTTGAACTGCTTGCCTTTTGTTTGGAGCAGAACTCCCTACCCACTAGGTCATCAGAATTTGGGTTTCTATTAAAAGACACATACTATCTAGGTATTGAATACAGTTATATACTTGTTTAATTTTTAGTAAGTCTAAATTCTGTATTGTTGCCAAAACAGACTGCACCTGTAAACTCTGGGTAGAATGTCAATATAGTCACTAAGTATTTATTTATTAAACACATGACCCAGGCTACTACCATTGACCTACGTGTCTTGTGGTGACTTGCATGCTGCTGTGATGTTGGAAGCACTGTCACCAGTATTTCAAATTATCAGCAGGCTTCACCTTTGAGCAGGTTTCAGTAGCACTTCCACACTATGACACAGTAGGAAGAAGGGCCTGGTGATGGACTTTTGAAAATTACCTACTGAAATCTTTACAAATAACAGCAAATAATAACTTTCTTGCTTTGGAAATGTGATCAGGAGGATTTAATAACTAGAGCAGAATACCAGCAGGTGAAGTGAGGACTGACACATAATCACAATGATGGACTTGAATGAGCTGGTGATTGGGAGAATGATGCAGGATTGGACAACATTTCATTCTGCTGTATCCTTATGAGCTCCAGTAAAATTGATGTCAGCTAATGATAATAACCTGCTGTGTGTGATCAAAACATGTGTGAAGGGTCTGTCATCACAGACTGTCTATTCTAGTCAAGATTCTAATTTAAAACCAAACCTACCACAATGGGCTGCCAAGAAAACAAAGGCCTGTCTTGGAGAGGGTGAAACCAAGTTTCTCCCTGGAGGCTGGGATTTTAAAGCTCCATTTCACATACTTTGCTCACGTGGCCAGGAGAAACCTCTTCCTTGGAAAAGGACATCATGCTCAAAAGGGTGGAGGGACAGCGCAGGAGAGGAAGACCCCAGGTGAGATGGATTGATACAGTAACTGGAGCAACGGGAGTTGGTGTGTCAGAATTAGTGAAACTGGCTCAGGACAGGGCCGGCTTCAGAGCTGCCGTACATAGGGTTGCTATGGGATGCAGGCTACTTGATGGCACATAACAACAACAAAAACAACAGTATCCACCATTGAGTAGATTCTGACTAGTGGAAACTACACTGTACCAAGCAACCAAGATTCCTTAGCTACATGTAATTTTTACCTTACTTGCTAAATTAGAAGACTCTCTAATGTCTCAGGATGAGCTAACTGGCAAGTCAAAAGTTTGAACCCATTGGAACTCTTTGGAAGAAAGCCGAGCGAGTTTTCTTCTATGTCTTATAACCTTAGAAGCCCATTGCAGATTTCCTCTCTTTACAAATTGTGGCTTACTCCCTCTTCATCCCGTTGACTCTTAACTTCGCTTTTATTGATGGTGTATTTAGGTTACCGATTTTAACTTCTATCAGTTATTAGTGAATCAACTTAAAAGTCAGTGGGGGTTTTGCTTGCTAATTTAGAATTTAACACACAAACTCCAACCACAAAGAAGGTCCAATGACCCCACCTTTCATTTTTTGTGTGTGTTTTGAGTTCTTAATTAACAACTAAGATAAAAACTGCACATAATTAAAATTATCCAAGATAATTTCTTAGGACAGTGAGTGTTAGTCTGAGGTCCCAATAGTATCTTCCAATTAGTTCAACATGGTACATTTTTTCTAGAGATTTAGGACCAATTTCTTTCTTCATCAAACTCAAGATAAAATTATTGTGAAGGGGTAGTGAAAGGGTAGTGGTGTTTGGAAATGTGGTTAGGTACCATCGAGTCGAGTACAAATCGCAGTGAAAGAACAGCCAAGCTGAAACTTGTCCTATCCTGTTCCATCATCATCACCTGTGAGACACCAGAGCCCAGTGATGATGTCACATATCAATCTATTTCATTAGGGGTCTTCTCTCCCTTGTTGAACCTTCATCTATCCATACATTATTTCTCTTTCTATTGAATACCCTTACTTAGCTACATGTCTAAAATATGAAAGAGCAAGTTTCATATTCTTGCTCCTAAGGAGTACTCTGTCCTTTCCATAACATATCTGTTTGTACTTCTGGCGGTTCATTGGATATTTAGTATTCTTTTCAAGCACTACAACTTAAAAGCATAAATCTTCTTCTCTTATTCTTCATTGTCCAGCTCTCTGACAAAGTTACAACATTTTCAAAGTTACAGCATTGTTTCTCAATGTATTTTGGAGAGGTCCCTGAGAGAAATATGCCCAGTGTAATATGTCTCCTCATTTTCTGTGTTGACTGTCGATCCAAGCAAGATGAAATAATTGACAGCTTCAATTTTTTTCCCCATATATCACAGCATTGACTGTTTTGTCTGTGCTGAGGACCTTTGTCTTCTTGATGTTGAGATGTAATCCGTAGCAAAGGCTATAGTCTTTGATCTTCTGCAGCAGATGTATCATATCCTTCTCATATTCAGCAAGCAAAGCTCTTTCATCAGTATAACACAGGTTATTGATAAGTCTTCCTCCAATCTTTATGCCACACTCTTCTTTATACTGTCCAGCTTGTGAATTATTTGTTAAGGATACAAATTGAACAGGTATGAATAAGGGATACAACCCTGACACATATCCTTCCTGATCTTAAACCATGCAGTGTTCCCTTGTTCTGTTCACACAATAGCTTCTGGGTCTAGGTGTAAATTCCATAAGAGCACAATTGTTGTTGTGTTGTTGTTATGTGCCGTCGAGTCGTTTGCAACTCATAGCGACCCTATGCACAACAGCCCTAAACCCTGCTCTATCCTACGCCAACCGCACCGCCTCTGACACACCCATCCCGATTACACCAGTCACCGAATCAATCCATCTCATAGAGGGTCTTCCCCTCCTGCACTGTCCCGCCACCCTCCCAAGCATGATGTCCCTCTCCAAGGACCCG